AAAGCGATTTATTCTACTGAGACCATATTCAGCTATATATAGAGTGAAATTATTATCAATAAAGATTCCATGAGGATTACAAATTGTATTTGGTTGCGATGAACAAGTGCCATTACCGGCAATGACCGTTGCATTCATTGTACTGGAATTCAGGGCTCGTTTCAGCACTTTGTTGGTGTTGCCAGCACTGCAATACAGCGCATTGTTCATATCAACAAACATTCCCATGCATTGTGCATCGACATTCATCACGTCGATGCTGCTGGTTGAGTTGAAAGTCCACTTGGCAACCGTACTACCTTTGTCAATATAAACGTCGCCATTGTCATGAACAAAGATAGCAGCTGGGTTGAACAGGCCAGCAGATGCTGTTCTAATTGGAGTGTCGCCTGAATTAGACCATACTTGAAAACGGTTGGTAGCTTGTTCAGAGGCATAAACAATGTTGTTCACACTGACGAACAAACCAAAAGGTTTTGAGCTGGCATTAGCAAAAAACGTTCCATTCGGATTCCAGTATGCACATGCAGAAAATTTTGGTTGATTGAACGATATGCCTATTAAATAAAAGACATTCTAATTGATTTTTACCAATGTTTTACGAATATTAGAAAATCTATACTGTATCTGTGATGAATAAACAGCAGGACAGTCATATAAATTAACTCGAGATGTTATTTTGCTTAACCCTTTCCAGCCGGGTGTATCCATATGGATACAATTTTGCCGTAGGGGGGTACGGGATTCTCCAAAAATTCGGGGCTGAAAAATTGATTCTCATAACTAAAGTAACAAGAATATATATAAAGAAAATATTTTGCTTGCTGTTTTCTGGTAGCCGGCCGGAAAGGGTTAAGAGAGAAAACTAGAAATACTTACACCATACGAAAAGCTCAAACAGAGAGAATTACAACTGTATTGTAACTAGGAAATACGTTACCCGCACTCAAATGCATGAGAATACCAATCAACAACCATTGACTACTATAAATCGATCCCATTTTTTTTATTCAAAGTAAACCCAATGAGAAAGATAGGTAAAAAAAGTGTAATGGTGGACGATGTATGATCGGTAATTACTTGAATGAATCGGTTTTCTTGTTTACAAGTCTGGCGAGAATGCTATGGGAAGAAAAAGAAGTAATATAACAGAAAGCCTTTTCTCATTTTTCATCAGACTTTCCCCGAAAAATCATCTTTTCCTGGTTTACGTTCTGCGCGATGTTGGAGTATTGTAGAAATCGTTAACTCGAGTTTTAAACTATTCAACTACCACCATCGCCCACATCTACACTCTCACCCACATCCTCACCCCGGAATATTCTCATTTTTTCATTCCCACCTGCAAAACTTTTTCCTTGATATTCTTTAAGTTTCTGTTTTAACGGAGCAATCTTGATGATGAGTTAATTAACTCGTTTCCACTTACTAAATTTGATTTCTGCGAAAGAAAAGAAATGAAATTAGTGAGAAAAGGAAATTTACTTACAAGATGAATCCAAACGTTACATCGGACCAATATATTGACGAATATTTCTTTCCGGCATTTAGAAAAATGCGAAACAATTACGAATAAAACTATTGAGGGTGGACGTAAAAGTTCCAGTTTGTTTCACTATTCTTCTTCATATCAACGCATAGTCATTATAGGAATATAACTCTTTGCCGGTAAGTTACTCGATTTTTCAGAAAGTTACGTATCTGCGCCATTGCAAACACACAAATAAGTGTCTGCAGTGGACAAATAAATTAAACAGAATTTTGAACAATACTTATGTTAGGATATTTAATCAAAAGATCCGGTTTTATGAATGTTTGTATCATGGATATGAATGCTGCTGGACCCCAGCTAAAAATAAAAAGTAGTGAAAATCCAAGTAATTGTAAAGCTAATTTCCTTTGTTTTTTTTTCAAGTATTTCCTCGGTGTTGACGTAATTTGTATCTCGAATATACAACCCGACATAATAATACAACATTTGATAGGATGATCACAAATATCGGCGCGAAAAGTAGTTTAGAGACCAATCGATATCATACGCAAGATATATGTCGATATAACAAGGATAGTTACATATTGTTTTTTCTTCAGCGAAAATAGTTACACAAGGACAAAGATAAATAAAAATACAATACCATACGACTGGATACAGCATACAGAAGATCAAAGGCGTAAAATGGATTAATCATCGTGTACGTTTAATACGAAACCAATGACGATGAAATTTGAGAAAATGTCTTTGGATTTGAATGCTAGCTGTTGTGGCAAGTAGAAGATTTGAGGACAAAAGTACATAGTCAACCCAATATCACCAAAGGCAAAATGATGGTGATCGATAATAATCATAACTAAGACGAAAGTGACTAATAGAAAATGGTAAGTCTTATTTCATATATAAGAATGATACAGTAAGTAGAAGAAAAATAGCATGTTGATGGAGAGTCTCCCTCATCACTTAATACCAATGGGAAAGAATATATACCAAAATGAAAATTGAACATATGAGTGCGAGAACTTACAATTGTCAATGCGATAAAAGTAATGAAGTTGGTTGCGAAGAAACCGTCTGAACTTCATTCAGTCTCGTTATCCATTCACAGTACTCGATTGTGAAAGCAAAATTGTGTTTCTCACATAACATTTCTGCTCTTCAGTCGCATCTTTCCATTGTAAAATAAAAGATTCTAATTTGCGCAGATCTTTCCAGTCGCTATGGATATATATATATATATATTGAATAACGGACTGGAAATAATGTGTTCAGGAAAGTAGAGCATGACTCCATTAAACGCGACAGAAACAATGCTTGATACTTCAAGGTGCGTTTTATCGAGAAAGAAATTATTTGATTCGACGAATGAAATATTTGGTATTCCCATCGACTGTTACAAAGTTTGTTTATATTTTTTCTGTCAACCGTTATTTCGCATTATCTGATAGTAGAGCCAATCAGGTACGTTTTTCTATAAACGACGTACTATTGAAAAGGCATTTCCAGTGATCCCTTAATAAAAGGTCTTCCCGTTTTAGACGTGTTCAGGTGTACTTATATAGAAGTCAACGGTAGTTTTATTGACGAAGTGGTACTGCTCTGCATGGTAGATCAAACACGTTGAGAAGCGTTTAGTCTGCATTTTAAAGTTATATAAAGGTATCTTAATGGTTTCAAAGTAGGTTTTTTCTCTAAAAAAGAACTCATTCTGTAATAACTGAAGTATACGTTTTTATGCTTTTAACGTCTAACTCCTCGAGTCTCGATGAATTATATATATTCGATCTGGCAGAAACTCACATTTTCGGATTAGTCGAGGTTTATCAGATCTGGAATGCTTACTCATAATTAAAGTATAATTTTGATAGATTACATAGATATTCTTCTGCATAAGACGTACCTATCAGTATTGCATCCCAAATGGTCCTGATCCAAAAATTCTACAGTATTCTTCATCGCCGAGTAATAAAGCACTGCGAGAAGGTCATTCCTCGACTCTCTCTCTCTCCCTCCTTTTCGATTCCTATATACCAGTAAAAGCTTCTCCTCGATTTTCGTTTATTTTTCATTAACTAATTCAACTAGAATAATAATCGGTAGTGAGGATGTTTCGATTTTTATCACAAATAATCTCGTGAAGAAAGCAGAGTCAAAAAGTGAAATTCTCTTTCACAATCAACACACTTTGCTTCTACCTTTTAAACTTGATTTCTAAAAACGAAATCTACTGTAAGAAATGAATTGTCTCGTTCCTTCACTCAACCACTTACGAGAAATTTTCGACGCTAGAGAACATCTTACGATTAGACTAGGATCAGGCACAAGTTATTGCGAATTGAATCAAAGAGTTTGACCGAAAACAAAATCCTTGATTATCTGCTTTTCTTGTTTTCACAAAGCTACATTAATAATTTTTCATACACGCTTTCGAAACTGAAATGAATGTCAACGCGTCCACTTTTCAAGATGCTGACCGTTTGTTTCGTCTTTCACCGATAAAATCGATAGACGAGCATTGTTTCGATACAACAATGACCTACACTCTGTATATAAAGGAACGTTGTCTAATCAACGTTCATTTAAATTTCTACAGCTAAACATGCAGCGACTTATCTTCACTGGTCTTCTTATTATTTTGTTGTTGGGTGTTGTTTTCTCTTTTGAAATGATAACCGAAAGTAAAAACAATGACCTTTTGTGTCTGTTGTAGTGCCTTTTTTTGAAATTTTTAGGGAATGTGTTGACTTTCAACAACAGCGAGCAGCAGCAAGCCGTATTTCATGATACGATTCGTCATAAACGTTCTGCTGGTGGTTGTCCATCATTTTGTGGTGGTTACTATCCCGATTGCCATTGTGGTTAAGAATAATGAATATTGTTTAAATTTTCATATGATTGAATAAATGGTTATCGTAGGGAGTGTAGTCTAGATGAAATTTTTTGCATGACAATGCAGACATGAAGGTTGAGTATTTGAGATTTTCGTATGTAAAAGTATTATTCGAAAGATCGAATGAATGCAGTTATATAAATATGAAGTGTAGATTCATGCTTGCTCTGCAATGATAATAGAAGCGTTTTTCACTATTTTATGGTAAGGAATATTTAAATAGATCAACTTTTCTAATGTCTATGTTTTCAAACGTATGTGTATTGTGTACGATTCGCTTTGATTTTTCATACATTAATAAGCAGTGAGAAGATCAACTTTGTAAGAAAAGCTGAACACCGCGGTTTGGTTTATTTCGATGTGGTGACTGGATAGATATTGTTTCTCTTTCTACTCAATGAGTCCTCTGAGTTCTTTTGGTTGTTGGAAAAGAAGATGTTCCAGTTCACCAGACGTATGACGATCTTCAGGTGAGAAACATCATGTTCTTTTCATAATAGGCCGTTAGGCTTGAAAACAATTAGATGGCTAAGGTATTATTTCACCATGTCTTACCGATTGAACGACATGTTCATCTCGTTCTGTGTTTGGCCTAAGTAGCTGATGATTTAAACAATGAAAGTCTCAAGCAGAGTTGATTATGTCTATTGAGACTGATCCGCAGTTTTAACAATATTTATCTCTGGATGACGATCGTCAAGTGCATGCTCTTGTAAAAGTATGATTGTATTATCTTCATTGGGAATATTTTGGATCACGGACAAAGCCAAATGTTCTAGTAATATGTGAATGACGACTGAATTTCACATCAAATGACGCTTTGCTTCCTGCTCGAGCACCCTCAATTTTCAAGAAAACGATTTCTCATCGTTCTCTTGAAAAGTAATTCACATACCATGAAAGAAATGATATAGTAGTTGTATGAATGCAGCTGTTTTATTTATTCTTGTATGACATTAAAAACGAAAACACCTCAGAACGGAAAAACGATTTCAAAAAATACGGGCAATGTTGAATATGAATGTAAAAATAGTCGAATAGATACCGATATCTTCAGCATGTCATTCGTCGCCTAGAACGATATTTGTATTATATAATTTACCAGTAAAGCTAAATACATGCGAACTTACTAGGTGAAAGAGAGCAAGTGGGACCACTAATATCCTTACGATTGCAATCTAAACAATGAGCGACATTACCGCAAGGTTTACAAGTACGAGCACAATAAGCGCTGCAACACTCAAAATGATGATGACAGGGTTTTCCAACTTTGAGAAGGTCATCATCATCACCACCACACTCTCTGCGCTTTTGTAATCGTCTTCGTAATAACGATTGCATAACGTTGTCGCGTCGTTCAAAACTATCATCATCATTATCAGAATAGAAACTTTTGGAATTCACCAGAAATACCATCATAGCTATAGCAAAACAAACTATCGTTACTTTGCCGATCATCTTGCCGCCTTTGATATACCAATGTGTACGAATATTCACTGATAATATATACCTTCGTTTTACACCCACCTATGGCGCACCTACACGTTTTTAATTATTTTTTCTGCTCTATGAATAATACAGAGTAAACATATTGGTTGTGAATAATTTCAAGGTCAGATAAACATGTTTTTCATATTAATTATATTTGTTAAAGTGGCATTTGCACTCTTTTCATTAAGTCGCGACGTGCACAATAAATGTACCGATCGAAAATTTGTGGCAGAATACCCATAGACTACGTAGAAATTTATTCTTTTCATTTGGCTATTGGTCTCGAAAGACTTAGCTACTTCAGTCAACAAGAAAACTAACGATGGAACCATCTGAGGTGATCCCTCCCGTTTTCATTCATTCCGATAACGTCAAGTTATTGTTTAATAACGCACATAAAACAGCACAAGCACTACTCGAGTCAATTGGCAACTTTGAAAATGTCATTCATATAAAGTCAAATATGGAATTACATGCCACTATCGGAACAAAACACTAACACGTTTCCTGGTGTAAATGACAACTTTCAAGATCAAACGAACCAATTTTATATGATGAAATATGATACAATAAATATATTCGAGAAGAAAAAGAGAATTTTCATCAGTTCAGGAAGCACATCTTGATGTTGATAAGTTTTATGGCTATACACAAAACGATAATTAGAATACATATTAAAAAAATCGAACACCTTACTCGATGTTCGACGATGACATGAATCTCGCCATTGGAACGAAGGCCGAGCATTTGCGGCAATGGCACCCAAACATTATACATACTTTTGCCATAAACATGCTTTCTCAAGTCAATCTTTGCTGAACCAACGGAGTCACGGCCCACCACATCCTCGTCATAAACATTCAAATACAAATAATCAGGATTGCTTTTCAAATTACTAAAACCAGTCACATGATTATTCGAAGATATTTTTTTCGCACACTCACAAAGTAAATCTTTGGTTCCATGTTGGATCATTTGTATCTTTGACGGTAACCGTTCGCTGCTTGTAATCTTTATCCACATAAACTTCAACGTACGCATCGTTTTTTCCTACCACGTCTTTGTCTTTGAGATTTCGTCCTTCGATAACGGACACTTCTAGAGAACCTTGCATTTGACCCATACTTGTTGCACACCACTGAATAGAGGGCGAATGAGAAATACATTCAACTTTTATTTCTTCGTCACAGCTTGTCTTGCTTTCTTTTCTTTCATTCAAATTTATTGTTCGAATTGATGTCATATCATGGAGATAATAGCAGAACACTTGACACATGTGTCCATAAAACTATTCTCAATATGTTTTTCAGATTCTAACACGTCAGTTCATGATTATCAAGCACCTTATGGTGACTATTTAGATATAGAAATTTTCATCAAATACACAATATGTCAAGTCATATGCTAATAAAACTACGTAGAATATTTGCTGACGCGATATTTGTTATAGAGACAAAAAAAAGTAACAATCATTCTCTATCCTGCAGAATGATGTATCGTGCCCTTTTATTAATATTATTTATACATATAGAAGTCAAATCTCAATTTAACCTATACAAAATCGATCGAACTATTCGTTCAGGTACTTTAGAATTCGACTGTTTACATTTACATACAGCCAGCACGGAGATATACACATTTGTTCCATACTGCATTCGTCCACGTCATGAAAATGACTTAATACATTCTTCTCTCGTTAATACGCATCAGAAGAACTTTACATTTCATGATCTACTCCGTTTGAATGTGACCACTGAACAGCTTTTGTCATGGTCAGCTTCAATTGATCTTGTTGAACGATATCAATCGTATGTTGAAGGACCGAACAGCTTATCGACATCAAATGAGATATTTTTCAATTGTACAGTGCCGTGGTTCGGACCTCGATGCCAGTATTTATTCGATGTAGAAGACGTATCTACTGTTCTGGATGTTGTTTTTGTTACACTCGAAGCAAAGGAAGACACTTTATATCCCAATCATATGACTAATCTGACATGCTATGTCCATCTAGAATGTAACCGTGGTGGTGCGTTCATATGTCTCGATTGGCGTGAAATATGTGATGGTCGGATGGACTGCCTCAATGACGGAGTTGACGAGATGCATTGTTTGGAGTTGGAAATGAATGAATGTCAAGAAGATGAGTATCGTTGTCAAAATGGACAATGCATTTCGATAGAATTTTGGAAAGATGGAGCGTTTGTATTGGAATGTCTTGACGGTTCGGATGAGCCCGAGCTATCTCCAATAACTCTAGAGACTTGTTACATCAGAACGGGATTTATTTGCGAAGAACATTCGTGTCAACAAGGAGACTTGCCATTTGTATGTGGAGATGGCGAGTGTAGGCCAAACTTTTATCCATGTGCTAGTGGTCGAGATTATTTGCTGTTCGAATCGATGAAAGCTTTAGGAGATTTGTCCTACGAATGTTGGACAATAATGGCTTGCTCGACAAGAGTCATAGACACGATAGAAAACTTATCATGTGACGAGTTTTTCAGTATCACCAATGATATTACGACTTACATCGACCAGTGTCAAAATCTCACTCAATTTCCCGCAATGCCAGTTCTGTTCTCACATGTTCGCTTTTTCTATTTCAAAATATACGATCGTGATTGGGATTTCGACAAGATTTTGCTGCCCGATCTGATTTGTTACGATGAACATTTGTGTGAGTTCCTTGTACCGAGTTTTCGAGATGAAAACGTCACATGTCGATACCGCGATGAAATGGGCTTGAACTCGAATACGACTTACGTTTCTTGGAGTGTAATCATTGAAAAAATTGCGCCATACTTTGTCGGCTGTTCTTCTTCGTATCGCACCACAACTGATTTTCAAAATAGCTCACTGTATTGCTGTAAAAATTCGTCCAAATGCATCTCGAAGCATCGTATCATGGATGGCGTTAGAGATTGTTTCATGAATGACGATGAAGAAGCATATGAACTAAGTTGTTTGTTGAATCAAACACTTCGATTTCGGTGTCCGAACAAAAACTTCTGTTCGTCTCCGCTACTCGTACACCAATCGAAATGTTCTGCACAGGAAAAAAGGACGTCACTGACTGAGATACAATTTAACCAAATATGTGATCAAGTTATCCATTTATT